TTGAACAGTATCGCCCTACCACGCTAGACAAGCTCTCAGAAAATGAGAGTAACATTCTTCTTATGACACACAACACAATATCATCGGTTTCATATTGCTTGGAGAAGAATCAATACGGGCTTAATACAGTCATATCGGATCTGATAAAACTTACCAACGCGATTGCAGCCGCACCTTTACCTGCGGAACCATCGAAATCATCTCCTCCAGCACAATCTTTCACACAATCCCACGCCACCTTATACATTGCACTCAATTCTCTCCTACGCATGTTGGCACCAATTGCCCCAGCGTTTGCCTCAGAATGTTGGGAAGTACTACACAAGCCTCTCTTTGAACTTATTGACTCCTCACCGGTTCCATCTGTCTTCTCTTCCCCATGGCCGTCTGAATTCTTATCAAACTCCGATATCAAGCAAATTCGCTCTCGTGGAGCGAAGACAGTGGCAGTTCAGGTGAATGGGAAACTCCGGTTCACGGCATCTGTACCACCATTTTCGAAGAACAATGCTACTGCTGAGTTAATTAGTCAGGAACAGGAACAGGAGTGGATATTATCCCATGTTCTTGCGACGAAAGAAGGAAAGATTTGGCTCCAAGAGAAAAATGACTGGGATAAACGGAAACGAGTTCTTGTTGTTGGGAGTGGAAAGGTCGTTAATATTGTGTTTTAGAGAACTTGTATATTATGTATAATAGTTTGAGCCAAACTTTCACGAGCGAGGGAATTGTCAATTATAGAAAGGCAAATGAATACCCAATTTTCAACTCTCAAAGCTCGGAAATTATATGAGTGAACTTAATGTTTTATCATGACATAGTTATCCTATCCGCATACTAATGGACGTATGGTATGTGTCCGAAAAGAAGGACCTTGAAAGCGGGTTACATGTGAGCCAGCCAACAGTGGGATTAAACGAGATAAGAGAAAGTAATAACGGGTGTATCTGTTCGTATGCCTCTGGCAATACAGAAAACATGGCTAACATTTCAAATGCAGCTGGGAAATAGAGTCAAAAAGAGAGCATCCAGCGCTAAATGTGAGAAAAGATGTAACCAGCCAGGTCAGGTCCCACTCAAAGTAAGGAGAGATTTTGTCAAGTAAAGACCCGATAAATGCTTATATCCAGGGCCTATATCTGAAATTTGGTAAATAAAATGGGTATATAGTCGATTTTATATTGTAGGGCTCATATCCAAGGTGAGGATTGGTATGTTGCTGGAAGGGGGGATAGATGGCCACTGTGTTGCCATTGTGCGGAATAAGAGCTAGTTTTACTGTCCCTTAGTCGCATTGCTGCTTCAAAGAGTACCTGCTGGGGATCTTGCGGTGGGATAGGAGGAAGCATCTTATCCGTCAGTCTCCGAGGAGTGCCCGAGGAGTATGTGGAGATGGATGGTCTCGGGGAAGCCGAATATGGATGTAGATAGACCTGCCCAGGATGTACAGGATATGTTGGAGTGGGCTCGAACTTATATGTGTCGTTAGAGTGATAAGGATTATGTCGATTATGTGGATATGGAGGCTTCAACAAAGCAGAATCCAGAGATCTTCGAAGGCTGTCGGATCTATTGAGTGTTGGTGTTGATGGCATGTTTAGTGGTTTCTGGGGAGAATTAGGCCCTAGTAAAGCTGGAGTTGAAACATTTAATCGAGGATTCATTGGGTATATTCCGTAGCTGGGTGGATATAGCTCAGCGGGTGCGATAGCTGGACTAAACTTCGGAGAATGATAAACTGGAGAATTGAACGCTAGCCTTGGGGTTTGCGGCATGGGAATTTCGGGACGATAAATTTTAGGTATCATATCGTTACTATGGTAGGATGCGTTGCCCGGGATGAGCGTTTCCTTCACAATGCTGCCTCTTGTTTCTGATGCAGCCTTTCTATGCGGTGGCGGGACGACAGAACTGCTCTTTACTCCCTTTGAAGGAGGGAATTCTCCCATGTTTGGCTTCGGAGTTCCGGTGGTTCCCAAACCAGGTTTGGACAGAGAGTTATGGGGCGTCTTTGATATGGTATTTTGCAGTGGTATGCTGTCCGTCTTCTTCTCTATCCGCTCGGGCCGATACACCTCCACTATACCAGAATCCGCACCACCAAAGCTGCTCCAGGTGCTGCGTTTATCCCATATTTGCCCATCTGCTGAAGTCGAAAGAACGTCTTGGGGGCGACGTAAAATGAGGAATAATGCAGAGTTAGCAAAACCAAAAATGTGAATTGCAATTGACGAAACGAGCCCAGAAGCCTGTGAAGGGCGATGGCGTAGGGCAGATATGAAGAATGGTAAAGGAGAGAGCTGTTTGATATATTTAGCACAAGAGCGTCTCGTATCAAGTGGTAAGGTGGTGATGGCTGTACTAACATATAATATGGAGCCGAGAACGAGATGGAAAATGCCATGCTTCATAACAGTCCTTCGATCTCGACTTAGTCGCCTTGACTTCCGAAGACGGAACATTAGAACTGAAATGGTTGCAAAGTAAATCGCAACTAGTAGAACCGTTAAACCAATGGCAACATCTGCCCATCCCTTTAACCACTGAGATGGCTCTGCGGAACACCTGCTGTTCACGTTTGGTTTGGCAGCAGACGGTATCCATGTTAGTACTAATAGGAGTAATACCGTTCCCCCACAACTCAATGCTAGCCAGAAGCCCTTTGGAAAGTTCCGAGACGGGATGGCGCCCCTTAAGATGAAAGTTAGACACAATACAAGAAGCATATATGCATTGATCCACGAAGCTAGAATGATGTAAAATGATTAGCATTCTGGAGATGGTGCATATCAGATGAGAAGTACCCACTAGTCCAAACAACTTGGACGAAGTCTGCAGCCATCACTTTCGGCGGGTCGGTATCCGCTCGACTGTGAAGCGATGAAGACTGTTTCTTGAATGATTGAGGTTATCGAAAGGGAGTACGAAACAACGTAAGGATTCGGTATATGGAGTAGAATTTCAAATGGATTTCTATGCATCAGGGCTCGTGAGTAAGAGCTTATACCTAGACGAGAGGCGGGTATAACAGGGAGATGGAGAAAGTCGTATACCTTTGGAAAGATCGAGATTTCCTTAGTATCTTCCAGTTATCAAACAATATCACAGCAAACGTGACAACTGATGAAATCAAACCAAATGACGAAGTAGCAATGATAAACATTCGACGCTCTAGGTCCTCAACATTGGAAATGTTATACTCGCTGTCCATAGTTTGCGTACTGTTGTACATATTGTCGGTTCCTTTCAAGTCCTTGGGGTGCCGAACTACCAAAAGATCTTGAAATAAAGATCAAAGTAGAACAGTCCTTGGCTCGACATCGAGGGTGGCCACCACCCTATCCTTCCCGTACGGTCTGCCTGCAGGATGGTCGTGCGGTAAGAATATCAAAAGACTTGAAATGAGGAGAAACTAAAAAGAGACGGATAGAATTTCTGTCCTTGTCTCTTTTCTTCCACTCAATAAGAGAGAAACACTAGCAAGAAGTCACCGGAGAACCAGAACTTCGAGGAGAGAGTTTGAGAAAGCAGGCCAGATATAAAAGTTTTTCCTGTTCTTGTTGAATAAGCTTGAAATAAATGTATTGTGTGGATGTTGCACTGCCATGCAATATGCACCTGCACTGACATTGTCAGCTATAGCTAGATGCTATTCATGATAGGCCAAGTTGAAGTGCCTCCCCACTGTCCATAGGAGAAAAAGCCAGCCGACCCCAATTTTCCATGCTGGAATGCTTGCATTACATAGTAAGCTTGCACGTCGTTTATCAAGCCGTGGATACGATGATCCATGACTAGGGTGGAGCTCCCGCAACGGCTGCGGAGGGTGGTCGTGTTGTAAGAATATGTCCTCTAGGCGCCCGCCATGCACATTTTACAGCGTCGATGCATCCTAGTGGCTAAATATTCATAATCAAAGATTATTTGGGTCCATATTATCAATCTAGTTGCATTTGAAATCGCCTCTCATGGCGCTGGATCTCCCTGATGCGCACATTCAACATCGTGAGGTTCTGTGGTTGAACGAAGGGGCGGCCATATTTGGAAAGAGAAGACCCTGCCATCATGATGAGGATGAACGTAAGGTGTACAAAGCATTCCTAGGGTCTCCAGCTGCACTCTTGTCAGTTAGTTCTTGGATACTCCATAGATGAGCAGGAAAATGAGAAGAGGATGAAGAAGAAGAAAGAGGCGAGGAGGATGCGGCGATGTAAGATGCAGACGCAGGCGCCTCAAGTAAGCGTGCCTTAGTCAGCTCCACCTTGGACTTGTCAACACCACAACGAACGACTTCCTTCCTCGTATAAACTGGCAAGGACCTGATATCTCGAGCTTCACTCGCCCTCCATGTCGAAAGCCTGCAGAAACAGCTTCTAGCCTTGCCGGACCGCCGGACTGTCCAGTCCCGTGATGGTTTTTGCTACTCGCCTATTTACCTGCAGGGCAATAGCCTGCGTATGGAAAGGTGGCTGTTACGGATGCCTGCTAAGCCTTCTCGGCCCCAAAACGCCGGGTATTGTACCCCCATTACGCGGATATGTTGCAGTTGACGTTGAGCTTGCTGATATACAGAGTAACCCACACAACGTAACCATTCACGTCGCCTGGCCCCGCTAATGTGACCAACAAACGTGGTTATCAGACATGAAAAACTCGCCCTGGGGGCATTTCGTGCATCGTTGTTTCAACTCTATACCTGCGTCCCCTTGTTACGTCAAGCTCTATTATTTCTACGGCTCGATCGGATAATGAAATATTACTTGGACTCAATGTCATGCAGTTGGTTGGTTGCATCCGATACCTAGCTTGTTTTACAGTAATTTGAAGAGGTCTGATCTGTACTCCGGTATACTCTTGGATCTAAAGCAACGAGGCTCCATGACTGGAGAATGCGTTTTCTGCAAGAGCACTCCTTTTTTTTTTTTTTTTTTTATGTGATTGATTAGTTCTGTACCCTCAACCACTACGTTTGGCTGAATTCAACATGCTCCTAGTGGAAGTCGTCCGAGTCACAGTGAGATACGGACTCATACCAACAAATATCGGAAAACCCACGATTGGCCACCGCTACGGCAAGCTCTATATCCTTTCACGGCCTGGTACTCCGGAAAACCGTTTGGAAGATACCCATTATACCACTAAGCCCGCAATAATAACATGGGACATTGCGGCCTTGCTGCTTCTTTACGGAGATAACTCTAATGCGCAAGGGCTGGCGCATTGCATCTCACGCATGCATTGAGCTCTTCACTGCATCTGATTGATGGCGCGTCTCCTCCAGGCTAAGAGGTGGCACCATCATTACTAATGATCCGTGTCTATAATTAGATTTAACTGTGTTTAAGCTACTTCTTGAGGGCTATATGGAGATCGTACGTTGAGATAAAACGTAGATCTATGTGCGCTTCTCTAGGAATATTTGT